AGGATAAACTGTAGCTTTTGGAACAGTCATGTTTTCTTCATGCAAGACACATACAAACATATTTTGTTCCCAGGGGAAACCATTTTCTCTTTTACAAAATGTACAATTAAAAATGATGACAAAGAGTGTATTTTGCTCCAAATTGGTTGATCAGGGTAAATCTGGAAGATAACATATTTAAGGAGCCTTTTAGTTTGTGTAATTATAATGCTTGATATCAAGAGATAGTAAATATGATATACCATATATTACCATCTATAAGACAACCTGTAAATCCCGAAAATTACACTTAAAATTGGGGGTCATCTTATACTACTATTCTAAAAAAGCAACCTTAAGTTCTGAATGATGTTTGTCAGTAGACTAAACTCAACCTCGGTGTGATAACCAATAACGTACATGAAAAGATTCACATTATCAAATAAATTGATAATATAAGTAATAAAGCTATTTCTACCTTATATATTACTGGTATAACTTCATAATAAATTACTTATTCAATGAATAATTTCATATCAATGAAATCAACTGGAGAGGGGAATTAACAGGAAATAACTGATAACAGACATCCATTAAACATGGCATGTGGAACTAGAACAGTTTACCCAGTGTGTAAAATAAAGGGTTCAGTTCGACATTCCAACTACCTGAAGAAGGCCGGAGCATACAACGACCGAAACATAATAAATATGGCGAGCAAGATGAGAACAATAGTCCGAATAATGTAAATAGTTTACATAATACCTTATCTCAGAAATATACACAGATACTGAAGGATACAGTAAGTAACATTTCCAATAACATCATCTTTATATAATCAATAAGCAGTCATCTTACACTACAGGTCTAGGATAAATTCATGAAAATTGGCTATATTTTTTGACTTTGTCTTATCTGAAAGTCACCTTATATATAGAAATAGAAGATAACAATACTATAATATAGATTTATTTGAAATGTGATAAACGGCTCTTGATTTGCATAATAAAATCTCACACTACCAAATAAGTTATTACAATTGTTTCAGATAGTATAAGCTGTAACTAACATGTTTTTTTTTTAAATTTTTTATAAGTATATCCTGAAAATTATACTAACATCAGTTGATTAACACCAGCTTTATTGTTAAAATGTTGTCTTACGTAATAAAATCAGATATACTGTAGTATTTCTAAGGGGAATCAATTTATTACATAATAACAATATAAAACCGATCTCCCACTTTATCTCCAGTAGAAACTTACATTTGTATTTAATGTAAATATACCTTGAAAATTTCCCCAACATCTCTGGGTTAATAGTATTTTTTTGTTGAAACCTTGACTGGCATAATAAAATCTGATATAGGATAGTAATTTTAGGGGTGTGTGGGTGGGGCAATTTTTTGCTTAATACAAATAGAAAACCGACTCCCCCCACTTTATCTCCAGCATAAACTTACATTCATATTTAATGTAAATATTTTCTGAAAATTTTACTAATGTCAGTTATCAAATACCAATTCTATTTATATATAGATTTCTATTTATATAAAGAAGATTACTTTGATGTGTAAATATTAAAGTTTGACACAGTTTTAAGTGCTGCTCCACTCTTGCTGACCATTATTAAAAGGCTAACAATCAAGAGAAGTTTAACCATTATTATTATTAATAATTTTGATTAGCATTTATTTTTAGCATAATTTTTTTTCTTTTCTGGGAAGTGGATTGAGTTGATAGTTTTAAAAAAAATATGGCAACCAGAGATATTGTAAGCTAGAGGGAGAGATTTAAGGTTAAAGTTGATCTTCTGCAAACTATTTGTAGCTCATGTGGTTAACCAAGCCTTCTACCCAAAAGTAAACAGGATACATGCTTATCCTTTATTTCTGAGGAGTACTTGTTGCTATAGATTGATGGACTGAATAAAGTTACAATAATAAGCAACTAAATATGAAAATAAAAGTAAATATTAGTCAAAAAGTAATAATAATGGTTGATAATGCTTCATTTATATTAAAGAAAATGACGATGAAAATAAATACTAGTCAAAAACAGATAATGGTTGACAATGCTCCATTTAATAAAAAATGAAGATGAAAGTAAATTATAGCAAAAAATTAATAATAATGACTGACAATGTTTACATTTAATAAAAAATGTAGATGAAAGAAAATACTAGTAAAAAATTGATAATAATGGCTGACAAAGTAAATATGAGTGAAAAATTAATGATAATGGTTGTGAATGCATCATCTGATTCAAAATAATGAAAGTAAATACTAGTAAAAAAAATTAATAATAGTAGCTGACAGTACCAAATGCTTTATATTAAGAAAATAAAAGAAAAAAATTGTCTGGACTTTGGTGTTTAATTATTGTTCATGTTTTCCACTGCTGATACTAATTTCATTGTCTTTATTGTTAGACAACCAACAGAGGATTCATATCCAAAACATTGTGAAACCATAAAGTATAAAGAAATTGATCCAAAGAAAACTGTAGATTATGAAAGAAAAGTTTACTTGAGAAATGACTTTCATATATTTAAGAACACAAGGGTTTATATTTTGTTCTAACATTTTGTTTGGTACTGAGGCTGATTAACAGATGACTGATATCTTTTTCAACATTCCACCTCATGCAAGATAATAAAGCCACTAAGATGCAAGGGGGTTACTGAGTGTGAAAGAGTATGAGAAAAAGAAAAATATTATTAAGGAGACACAACAATAAATGAACACAAATTAAGAAGACAGATGATAATGATTGATATTGCATTGAAATTGAATGCATTAAAGCCAAAAGAGAGTTCCAAAAGTGAGAAATGTAAAAGAAACTGTTAGCATAGAACTTATGGTTACATCTAGCCATTTCAACTGTTAAATGATGAGACCAAGTTACCAATCTAGTACTGCTGTTAAACTCATAAAATTGAATTACCAAAGAGGAAATTTCATCAGAATAATTACCATAAAAGTTTTTATAGAAAAGACAACATTACGGCAATGGGAAAGTGAAGCTGAGATGCCAGGTCAGGACTGATAATATTGCAAATTCTTTAGATTTTATCAAAATTCTCTAAATATATAGCAGAAGCACCAGACCAAATTTGGTAGTAATAGTCACTGCTGGGATGACTAGTAGTCTTATAAATGTATAAGATAGATAATTTTTATCTCCAGAATCTATCACAGCACAGTGAAGAAACTTTCCTAGCAATTGATTCAATATAATCATTTCACTTCATGTCAGTGATAAACGTCAGCTCAAGAAGGTGCAATGAAGCACTCTTTTGGCGGTTAGCATCAGCTATGATGAGGGAAGGCAAAAAAGGTTCTCTAAAACGATTAAAAGAGAGCCATTTCATTTTGGAGATTAAAATTAACACGCCATTTCTTACTCCAGTTAACAGATTCTATGTAATTTTTTTTAGATCAGCTGCCAATTTGACTTTATCAAGCCAATTAGACTTAGCATTAAATCGGGTGTTATGTTGTCAGCATAGGTACTGAGTTGAGAACTGATGAAATCAATAAGGTTATTGATGAAAATTAGGGGCACAGTAGGTCCAAGGATAAAGCTCTATTATATTCCTTCAGAAAGGCATGGATCTTGTTTTTTCTCCTCCTAGTTAAAGGTTAAAAACTTTCAGCTCGCAGCCAGTCTCTGAGAAGGATAACTTGGAATTCAAAAATGACCTAGTAGACAACAGGAAACAACTTGGTTATTTTTCTGGAGAAGTTCTGGTTTGGTTTGTTTTGTTTTACGGTATATCAACCTGAATGGGTTATTTAATGCTGACAAGATTATTATTGCTCGTAATATACAGTAAAATCTACAATATGTTTCCAATTCTAAATAGCTGATTTCTAATTTGTTTTATTTTACGGCATATCAACCTCAATGGGTTATTTAATGCTGACAAGATTATTATTGCTGGTAATATTTTTTTCAAAACTGTATTGCTGGTAATATACAGTAAAATCTACAATATGTTTCCAATTCAAAATAGCTGATTTCTAGTTTTTGTTTTACAGCATATCAATCTCAATGGGTTATTTAATGCCGACAAGATATTGCTGGTAATGTTTTTTTTTTCAAAACTGTATTGCTGATAATATACAGTAAAACCTACAATGTGTTTCCAATTCAAAATAGCTGATTTCTAGTTTTTGTTTTACAGCATATCAACCTCAATGGGTTATTTAATGCCAACAAGATTTTTATTGCTGATAATATTTTTTTCTTTCCTCAAAAATGTATTGCCGGTAATAATTTTTTCTCCAAAAATTTATTGCTGGTATTAAAACCTATTTTTACACTTTTAAAGTGTTTTGACCCCAGCTTGGGGGTCAACTATTTGCCCATAGTTGGGACACTAACAGGTACTGCCATCCCTGGTTGGGGTGGACCTGGGAACATCAGCAATTAAGAGGTGGTTCCATGCTCCTCAAAGCCTCCTGATCAGAGGCCTTGCTGTTGAACGTATTTTATCATCTTACCAAGGACGCACAGAAGTCCTGGCAATTCACAGAAGATTAACAAAAGTAATCTGTGAAGAGTCATTTTCACCTGTGTTCTGAAGTGATACAGCATAAAAATAAATTTTTTAAAAATGAAAAATTCAATTACAAATCAGTTGTAGTTTAGAGGAATCCAACTGGATGTCTGACTCTTACATTGCACTTTGTATGCTTCTATATTCTGTGACCTTTCAGTATGTGGGTGATCAATGCTCTTCATTACCCCCCCCCTTTTTAATTCAAGTTTCTCTGAAGCCATCTGAATATTTTGACTAATATAAAATCTGAATAGGGTTTCTTTTTTCTTTTCTTTTTTTTTTTTTTAAATCACTATTAACTTGACCCCACTTAAATTAACCCCACTTTATAGGCAATAAGAAAGTTGGTTAGCAACCCTGCAGGATGAAAAATAAGAACTGTCTAAGAGAAAAATTCTTGATGAGTCAGTGGCCAGAGTTAATGTCTCAATAAAATGACTGTGGAGAAGATAGCTTACAGCCATATCATATTGAAACACCAGTTCCTATACGATCACTGAAGTTAAGCAACATTGAGCCTGATCAGTACCTAGATGGGTGACCACATATCAGGTGCTGTAAGCTTGGTTGTACAGGTGGATGAATAATGGCTCAGAATTGTTAATTGGAGAGCTGAGTTCCAATTCCAATTGGATTTGTTATATTCACTTGCACATAAATACCTTTTTGGAAAGGTATAAATCCACCTCTTCTCTCTCCAGCTACGGATCAATTAGTAAGATTTGTATCACTAAACCATCATTATTCCCCCCAGCCAAAAAAAAAAAAAAAAAAAAAATTAATATTTTCTGGCTTTAAATAACCTGCAAAGGGTTGATAAGCCATAGAAAACAAATCAAACACTCCTGTAGAGAAGGCAATAGGAAACAACTCAACTATCAGTTCCACAATCAATCCTGATAGTATACACTAAGCCAGTTTTTATATTCCTAAAGTTGTATCTGGGGCTACATTTTTAGATATGAACAAAAACACAGCATGACATATTTTGTGCAATACAAAGGAACAGACCCTGGGTTTTATGTGATCATAAGTGTCGATGACAATTTTGATATATTTCCTTAATAATTCCTATCTGTCAGTTTATAAATACTATCTGCGATATCACAGAATGCATGGTGAATTCTTTTTATGATTTCTAATAAAGGGAAAAAAACAACAAAGCAATGTTTATTTAACTGAGTTGATGTATAAAAATGAATAAGCAAATTAAAACCAAAGAATTCTTTTAAGAGGATTCAGTTTCTGGATCATATATTAAGGTTCTTAGAATCCAATGAGTGAATGTTATTTGAAATAAAGCATTCCAATGAATTATTTGGTCTAATATCTTCATCTTTATTGTTTTTATATCAGAATTTTGGCTGGTGGATTCTCTGATGTTGCCTATGGTAATGTTTCAGTAGCATCCAATTTGTTTTTCCATTCCTCTGATCTAATTTTTGTTGCCTATCCTTCTTATCCACAGAATCTTTAGTTTCTACTAATTTCTCTTAGTAACCCCTTCTACCTTGAGAGCAGCTCTTGAGCTTTGTACTAGCTGAACTTTAGTTTTAAAAAAAAAAGTCTCATCCTTGACTTGATTGAAAGAATTTACAAATCTGAATGCCAGAGATTTGTGCTGATGCTTAAACAAATATAAAGTCTGTTTGGAGAGGATTTGGCCATTTTGAATATTTTTAGGACTGGTTGTAAAGCATTGATGTGATAGAGGGGACCTAACTGCATATGCATGGACAAACACCTGCAACAATAAAACATGACTTCATGCATATCTCTCATCCTGCAATCAAAGTCTTGATTTGTCTCTTTGTTTGTGACTTCTAGCCTATCTAGAAGTTAAAAACACAATTGAAAGAAAGATTTCCGATTATGGACAAGAATCTAGAACATGACCAGGATGATCACCTCAAAAATAGATCTTTGGTAAGAAAGAAAAGAATACTGAGCTGTTACATGACATGTCCTTTTTTATGGCAGTGAATGTTAGGTGATTTCCTCAAAGGTGAAGAAATGACTTTAGGCGACGGAGATGTGGTTCTACAGAAGGATGCTAAGGATATCATGGACCGAGTATGTGAGCAACGATGAAATCTTAGAGAGATTGCAAACAAGGAGGAGGCTTATATTTAATATCAGGAAGAGACAGTTGAAGTTTCTGGTACACATAATGAGGAAGGAGGGTCTGGAGAATCTGATACTCATGGGTCAAATAGAGGGAAAAAGAGACAAGGGAAAACAACGCCTGACATACCTGGCAGACTTAAGCAAGTTAATGACAGAATGTGGTCTGGGAGAGGAAGCAGAGGGAAAGAACTTGTTGAGATCTGCAAGGGTTAGAGGGAAATGGAGAGCCATGATCGCCTACGTTCTGAAAGGACATGGTACATAAAAAAGAAAGAACTATTTTGAAATGCTGGAAAAAGTTCTTAATGTCCCAAGGAACTTTGAAGGGAACTGGCACCAATGCTCTAGTGAAACTATTCATTTTTTCATTAATAATAAATGGCTGGCTCATTTCTAGATAGATCTTTTATACACTGAATTGTGCTTGGACATCAGAAGGATTTATTCTATTCTAAATCTCAAAGGATTAAACATTCTTTGCAAATCTCTTAGTTCTTGTAGTTTTTCCTAGTTTATGTCAGAATTTTTTAGAGGAGGTGATATTATTTAAATAAAACTATTTTATGTTAGGTTTATTTTGTTTTATGGCATATCAACCTCAATGGGCTATTTAATGCCAACAAGATTTTTAGGATATGTTTGTATGAATAAAATATGTATTCTTTGCAAGAAATCGGTTTGTAGATCAGGCTTCATTACCATAATTTTGTAAAGAGGGTTTTCTCAAGAGTCAAATGTATTGTTGGTAAAATTTCTTTGAAGTATATAGTGCTGGTAATTTTTCTTTTCTTTTCCAAAAATGTATTTCTGGTAATTTTTTTTCTTTTTTTTTTTAATTTAAAAAATGTATTGCTGGTATTTTTATTATAAAAATGTATTTTTATACTTTCATAGTGTTTTAACCTCAGTTTGGGGGTTAACTATTTGCCCATACCCGGGACACCTGGGTCAGGGTGGACCTGGGAACAGCAGCAATTAAGAGTTGGTTCTGTGCTCCTAAAAACCTCCTGATCAGAGGCCTTGCTGCTGGATGTAGTTTGTCATACCCAGGATAGTCAGTATTTGACTAATTAACCTTAGCACCAGAGGCAAATATTTAACTATCACTTCCAACAAGCAAGCTCTCTTGTGAAATTATTATTAGCAATATTTTATTATTATATATTATTATTGACTCTTTAACATCTTAGTGAGTTAGAGAGCAGCATACCAACAAAGTGATACTGGGGTACGAAAATATGAAGTTGAATATACCCATCATGACAACTAGTCTAATAATTGTATACCAGGTACATGCATCACAGCCAAAAATTATTTTTTTATTATTATTATTTTCTGTTTAGACTGACATACTTGTAGCTTCCAGCCTTCTTCAGAGGTCTGTTGTATTCAGTAACCTTAATTATTTACATTATTCAGACTATTGTCCTCATCTTTGTTGCCATATTTATCACAATGTTTCGGCCATTGTATGCTCCAGCCTTCTTCAGGTGGTTGCAATGTTGAACTGAAGGTGTTGGTTAGATCCAGTGACAGGACCCAAAGAGTTGTGAGTTCAATACCTGGTTAAGGCAGTGGAGAACCTGGAGGGGTGAATTAACAGGAGATAACTGACATCCATTAGACATGGCATGTGAAACTAGAACAGTCTACCCCAGTGAGCAAAATAAAGGGTTAAGTTCAACATTCCAACCACCTGAAGAAGGCCGGAGTGTACAATGGCCAAAACGTGATAAATATGGCAACAAAGATGAGGAGAATAGTCTGAATAATGTAAATAATACCTCATCTCAGAAATATAGACAGATCAGTAATCTTAACTTAAATTTTTAACCAAACCTTTTATTCAATCCCCAAGAGTAGATTATCTTCATTCCACTTCCCTTGTTTAAGGGAGATCTCATAGCATTTTTTGATGTGTGGTGCAGTAATAGATAAGCAGCTTGAAATGAGAAATCTGATAGCAGAGTTCAAATTTCAGTTGGGTTCATTATATTCACCTATGCACAAATACCATTGGGAAAGGTATAAATCCATTTCTTCTCCCTCCCAGCAGGACAGACTAGGCCCTATATCCTTGGTTAGTAACCAGTCTAGGAGAAGGAAAATGAATTCAAACCAGTCTGCAGAAGGTTGGGCTCTGTCAAGATATCTTGCCCAAGACACACTAGTGCTGCTATGGCTGCAGTACTTTTGGTGCCCCTACAACCCTAATGTGTTACAGGTCTCCTTGTCATGGTCATATTATTTAATTCATATACTCTGGTTTAGTGAAAGAAACAGATGTGTAAAACAAAGATGAATAACATTATTTACATTATTTGGACTATTGTCCTCGTCTTTGTCGCCATATTTATCACAACGTTTCGGCCGTTGTATGCTCTGGCCTTCTTCAGGTGGTTGGAATGTCGAACTGAACCCTTTATTTTGCTCATTGGGGTAGACTGTTCTAGTTCCACGTGCCATGTTTGATGGATGTCAGTTATCTCCTGCTAATTTCCCTCTGAAAGTTCTCCACTGCCTTAACCGAAACGTTGTGATAAATATGGCGACAAAGATGAGGACAATAGTCTGAATAATGTAAATAATGTACATAATACCTCATCTCAGAAATATAGACAGACACTGAAAGATGAATAAATTAGAGAGACTGAACTGATGTGAGATGTTCCCTCACCACAGAAAGGGTAATGAGAAAAATCTACTCCCATATTTTAAAGAAAGGGTTTGGTTCAAAATCCTGGGATGTTTGAGTTTGACAGACACCTAAAGAAAATTAGAGGGTATAATGTGGAATCATGTCAGCATGAAAACCGCAATAACCACATTAGTCCAAATAGAAATGTATATAATAAATGTTTCTTCTTTTTACAAGAAATCTATCTCCTCTTTTTTTCTAAACTTGAGTTTTATTTTTGGTTTCTTGCTTTAATTACACAAAGGCAAAGGTTACTGGATGTTAGTAGAATTTAGTGCAACAATTGGGGTTAAGTATTTTGGCCTCTGTGTCCAGCATGGTGAAAGAGGGGGGGGATTGTAATGTCTAGCAGAAAAGGGAGAGGGGTTGCATCCGAGAGAAAAAAAAGCTTTGACTGCTATTGAAAAAAAAGATTTCATCTCTCAGAAAGATTAAATGAGGGCCTAGAATTAATATGCAACTTTACACCCAGGTCTGTGAAACCACTAAAAGGTTGGTTGTGCAGTCTTTTCTCCCAAAAAACAATAAATAAAAAACTAGCAAGGATCTCTGTTTGTCTCAAATAACCAATTAGGGTTCTGTGTAGAGTTGTCACATTGTTGTCATAATGTGAAAAACACATGAGTAGCATGCAGGTTACTTTTCAGTTAAAAATCTTACATTCAGGCCAAGCATTTTTCATTGTGATTTGAATGGTTCAAATGTTGGGTTTTGTGTGTGTGTTTTTTTCCCCAAA